GTTCCCAGGTCAAAACAACAGTTGTCTGATGATTGCTTAGGCTGAAACTTTGAGTTACAACACATTCCACTTGGACCTTCTCTCTTTCATATTGCAAAAGGAGAACTTTTCTGGCAGTTTGCCAAACCTTTCTATGTACCTACACAGTATGTAGTCCTAATCCAACCGATGAATAGCTGGAATAGGTGGAATAGGTCTACACTCAGCGTACAGTATAGTATATAGTATTAATGTTCAATTTGGAGGATCTAAGGAGAATGAGTGCAGCTATTTCATGGTGCCTATTTCATGCCTGGATTCAGGTGTTGTTCTTTCTCTCTCTTTCTCTTTCTCTCTTTTTCTCTCTCTTTCCCCTCTCTCTCTCTCTTCTCTCTCTCTCTCTCTCTCTCTCTCTCTCTCTCTCTCTCTCTCTCTCTCTCTCTCTCTCTCTCTCTCTCTCTCTCTCTCTCTCTCTCTCTCTCTCACTCTCTCTCTCTCTCTCTCTCTCTCTCTCTCACTCTCTCTCTCACTCTCTCTCTCTCTCTCTCTCTCTCTCTCTCTCTCTCTATCTATCTATCTATCTATCTCTATCTATCTATCTTTCTTTCCGTGCTGCAGCTTCTTCAAGTGCTGGTGTGTCTTCAGGAGATCGAGCAGTTCACCTCTCCAACCCGTCGCTGCCCAGCCGATATGCGTGGCATGCCCAGTGACCCCATTCCCGTCGTGCTCTGCGGCGATTTCAACAGCACACCGGACCGAAGTCCCATCTCGCTGATCCTCAACGGCTACGTACCACCGACTCACGTGGATATCATGCGGGTATGTGTGTGTGGATACTACTTGTAGCGATTGCTTTGTTACTTATGATGCTAGGCACTAGGCATGCACATGGCCACTGTATTTTGAATGCCTCTTCGAATGCTGCGGCAACACTGATTGCAAATGTGTGTTTGTGAAGTGCTGCTTAGGCGAAGAGTGTATCCACTTTCCCAGTGTAACAGTTGTGTCGAAACAGGTCATCAGTGCTCATCCTGTGTAATACAGCTCACAGCTTGATAATTGTTGACAGAAGGGAGTTGTGGCAGACATGTGGCTTGGTCTGAGCTATGGGGTATGAGTTGACTTGGTCTGAGTCATGGGGGGGGGGGGGGGGGGTATGAGTTGACTTGGTCTGAGTCATGGGGGGGGGGGGGGGGGTATGAGTTGACTTGGTCTGAGTCATGGGGGGGGGGGGGGGGTATGAGTTGACTTGGTCTGAGTCATGGGGGGGGGGGGGGGTATGAGTTGACTTGGTCTGAGTCATGGGGGGGGGGGGGGTATGAGTTGACTTGGTCTGAGTCATGGGGGGGGGGGGGGGGATGAGTTGACTTGGTTTTAAAAAGGGAAAGTTAAGGCAAAAATCAAATTTTCACCAGTTGTGGTCTTCGGGGTGCTGAGTCGAATGGTCTTGGTCCGAGGAAGCTGAGACGCTCCCTTCCTCCTTTATTCCCAATCGAAGGCGCGCACTTCCACCGCAACTGGGTGACTGCGCCCTACTAGATGGGGATTTGTATGCAAAATGTCACTAAAAGCGCCATTTCGTTCTTATAAAACAAGCGGTCACGTGCTCATGCGTACACCATTCACTTGGTCACCGTGCCTGCAGGCTACAACTTTCACACCAAGGTTCAACTCGAGTGACAGGAATGCTGTAAAAGTTGTAGCCTGCAGGCACGGTGACCAAGTGAATGGTGTACGCATGAGCACGTGACCGCTTACTCACCCGTGTTCGATTGGGAATAAGGGCCGAACGCTACATCGCAGCCTTTTCGGACCAAAACCAGTCGACTCAGCGTCCAAAAGTCTACAACATATGGACCAATCGCGGTCATCCGTGCTTTTATAAGAACGAAACGGCGCTTTTAGTGACTTTTTGCATACAAATCCCCATCTAGTAGGGCGCAGTCACCCAGTTTCGGTGGAAGTGCGCGAGTTCGATTGGGATTAAAGGAGGAAGGGAGCATCTCAGCTTCCTCGGACCAAGACCATTCGACTCAGCACCCTGAAGACTACAGCTGGTGAAAATTTGATTTTAGGGTATACAGTCAACTTCGCTAATAACGACTGTGGATATAACGACAATTCGCGAATAACGACATAATTTTCATGCCCAGAGTAAAGTCCCATCCAACTGTGACACATTATAATGAGACTTCGGGTATAACGACACTTCGCGAATAAGGACACTTTTCAGATGCCCCGCCGGCCCGCCGAGTGTTGTTATAAGCCAAGTAACTGTACCTTATTTTCTCTAATACAAGCCCGGAGTTCTTATCCCGGGGTTCTTAGCCCGGGGTTCTTATCCCGGGGTTCTTAGCCCGGGGTTCTTAGCCCGGGGTTCTTAGCCCGGGGTTCTTAGCCCGGGGTTCTTAGCCCGGGGTTCTTAGCCCGGGGTTCTTATCCCGGGGTTCTTATCCCGGGGTTCTTATCCCGGGGTTCTTATCCCGGGGTTCTTAGCCCGGGGTTCTTATTTTTCAGTGACAGCTCTACCCGTGCTACTACTGTAAGACATGTATATATAACGAGGAAGCAAATCTAACGTTTTAACGGATGACATTTCTTCGTTATAATAAGATCCGTTGAGGCCGTACTGCTTCATATATGCTGTGTGTGGTTATGGCAGAATACTGCAAGATCGTTAACATATCGTCTCGTTAACCTATGAATTTTGGACAATCGTTAAATTTGCGACTCGTTATAATAACATGTCTTACAGTATTAGAGACTGGGCTATTATTGGAGACTGGGCTCTTATTTTTTCAATTGTCAACTATAAAGCCAACTCCTGTCTATACAGGCATAAACTGACCATATCAAGACTGATTTTTCAACCCTAAGCTCAGGAATATTGTCAAAACAGATGTTTCACAATAGCATTGGCGCCAGGAAGGAAGCAGTAGACTGAAAACCTTCTTACAAATATGTTCTTGGCATGTTGTACTGCTGTTTTCTATGCAGTCAATATACTTGTTGCATACTCCAATTGTGACCCGCGCTACTGTCAGAGACTGTGCTCTTATTATTTCAAACCACCCTCACCCGGGTCATTATTGGAGACTGGTACAATGTGCAATGAATTCATGACAGCATGTCCTCCGCCTTGTAACATGTTTTGCCAGTCACGGAGGCCTCGACTATCGGAAAAAAACTAGAGCCAACGCAGCCACGGGGCCGAAAGTTCGTACTACACGCTGATTTTGTTCGAATCACGCTTGAAATTAGTTCGTCTTCAAGAAAGTTGTGCCGTACAGGAGTTCGTCGTAAACGAATAATTTTGACTTGATATGATGCCTGGCCAACCAGGATTGGCTCTAGTTCGTACTAATGGAAAGTTTGTCTTATCAGTGTTCGTACTAAGGAAAGTTTGTCTTATCAGTGTTCGTACTAAGGAGGTTTGACTGTACATGTGCATGTATTGCATATACTTTACGTTGTATTATTACGTGTGTGTGTGTGTGTGCGTGTGTGTGTGTATGTGTGCGTGTGCGCGCGTGCGCGTGTGTGTGCGTGTGTGTGTGTGTGTATGTGTGTGCGTGTGTGTGCGTGTGCGCGCGTGCGTGTGTGTGTATGTGTGTGTGTGCGTGTGCGCGCGTGCGTGTGCATGTTGTGTTGTGTTGCGTTCTGTTCTGTTCAGGCGCATGAGCTGAACATGGTGGTCCCATTCGATGAAATTCGACATGGCCTGAATCTGGATTCAACGCATCACTGGGCATGGAGACAAGTTGGAGTATTGATCAACGGGCTTCCTATCTGTGACCAGGTGTACAAGCAGGCGCGGGATGAGAAAGAGCGCCAGCTGAGGTCTAACCAGCGGTATCACCTGGGAATGGAAATTCAGAGGTTGCGTGATGAGGGAGTAATTCCCATGCCTGGTAGCGAGGGGGAAATACCGCCAAACTACAACGAGCCGAAGGCCAGGTATGCCATGGTTTGCTGCAATGTCATCAATCTCAGCTTTCAGCATGAGGCAGCTGCCATGGCAGCAATGGAAGCGGCGCCGCACAGAGTGCCGCCAGCAGCAATGGCAGCAGCAGCAGCAGCCCCTACAGGTGCAGGCGCCCCAACAGCAGTACTACCAGGACCTGTTGGACCTGTTGGACCTGCTGGCTGGGACTTGCCGAGTGGTGCCAATGCCGTCCTACAACCGCAAACCCTTCCCCCCAATACTGCTGCAAGTGCGGGCCAAGCCTCCTGTTCCTCTTTGCTTGCAGGCCATGCTGCAGCCACTACTGCAGCCACTACTGGCACTACTGGCACTACTGGCACTACTGGCACTAGTTCTATTGCTATGCCTAACGGCGGGCATGTCTCCTCGGCTTCTTCAGCCAATGGCCACCACCACACATTCATGCCAGGGACGACGGCAGGTGATGGCAATGCAGCAGCAAGACATGCACCCGCACCCGCTCACGGCCCCCTGGGTGCGACGGCTTCCTTGCAGGCCATGTCAATCACTGCGGCAGCTCAAAGTCGAGGAGTGGCGTCTGCCCAGGCTGCTGAAGAATGCATGCCACTGCCGGCACATCACCAGGTTGGTCCGATGTGTGTGTGTGTGTGTGTGTGTGTGTGTGTGTGTGTGTGTGTGTGTGTGTGTGTGTGCGTGCGCGTGCGCGTGTGTAGGTCAACAATAACCATGACGTATTAAAAGCAATGACTACTTCTAAAAAAGAAAAGAAGTAGTATTAAAGATTCATTGGTTTGATGGAAAGATGCAAAGGCGAAAAGTCTGAAAAATTGACTGTCACCACCAGGACTCGAACCAGGGGCCTTTAAGGCCATCCGTAAATACCGATATTTATTTAGAAACGAAAACTAGTCGTTTCTCTTCAACCCCCCTCCCTCAGAAACGAACACATACGAACGATGCATAGGATCGATATTTTTTCTTTTCTTTTCTGGACGTGCCCACACATACAAACTGTGCATCGATATTTTTCGAGAAACGAACAGGCGCTCAACCCCCTTCCCCCTAAACGACTAGTTTTCGTTTCTAAATAAATATCTATATTTACGGATGGCCCGTAAGTGAATACTTCAAGTACAGTAAAACCTGGTTGAAGCGACCACCCCGCGATGCAAGCAAAAACGGTCGTTAAAGCCGGGTGGTCTTTAGAACCAGGTCCTATACATTCGTGACATATCGGATTGCGTACATACATGTGCGTGATTGTACTCATATTGACGGGTGTGGAGCATAGAATACTTTCTGCAGGCAAAGCACACCTCACTCAAGTGCATGAAGCGCATCCTGCACTGTCACTTGTCACTCAGTCTGTTGACTGCATGTACTTGCTTCACATTTCACTTCAAAGTTCAAGCCTGTTGCTGTCAAACCTGACAGCCAAGATATGTGCAGGTCCAATAATTATGGCACTTGGTACACACAAAGTCGGTCGCTGGTCGCGCAAGCCAGGTGGTCACTGTATCCCGTGCAGTTTCTGTGTAGAACTGTCCGTGCATGGAAAAATGGTCATTAAAGGGAAACTGAACGCCAAAAATAAGTATGGCTTATCCGAAGGAGAATTGGGCACTGATTCCGATGAGCTATGTTTCGAGCCGATCAGAGAAGAGGAACTGTGTCAAATTTCATAAATAACACCTCCCATATTTGGAAATTGGCCTTGATGACGTGCGTACTGCTTAGCTGTCACCATGCTGTGCATGTTCAGCAGTGTAATTGAATGGAAGAAAACAATTACTTTGGTGTTTTGCAGCTCTGTTTCGTTCCCTGACGGTAACCAAATCTAGATGTAGGAATCTGTTGAGCAGGAGAGTGACACATGTCTTCCCGAAGGCTGTCCAGGCTGCAGTGGTGATGAAGAAGACACGATCATCACCCCGAGATCGATCGTAGCGAATTGGAAAACTCATGGTGAATTTGCTTCCACTCCAATGTCGAGGTATGAAGGGTGCTTGTACTGCCTTCCAAAGTGAAGAGGAGATGAACATGGCTTTGCATAGCTGTTGTTCTATGCCAACTTACCTACTCTTGCTGGTACCGTAGTGGCATATTGCAAATTTCGTGGACGAACAACTCTAGTCACTAGTGGCTAGTGAGCAACACTAACAGGTGAGATTTTTCAATTCGACAAAAATTGTTTTTGTTTGAGAACTGACAGTGGCAGTCATTAGACTCAGTAGGTGTCTCTCTGCTGCTTCTTTCCCTTCATTCGTAGGGTTGTGCTTGAATAGTACAAGTGCTTGAAGTAAAATAAAATAAATAGAACATGTGGAACATAAATCTCATCAAGCATCAGTACATGTATTGCGAAGTTCAACTTCAAAGCACATGAAATCACAATGATCACGAAGTTTATGTAATCAGGAGTACACCCTGTGTTCAACGAACACATAAACACATGCTGTATTGCGCACGCACATGTACACATGTGCGTGCAGCCCCACCCCATCCCACAGACACACGCATGCAGCGCGCACATCCATACACATGTGCGTGTACCCCCCCCCCCCCCCCACACACACACATTCCTACCCATACACATGTGCGTCCCCCCCCCCACACACACACGTGTGCACATACAGATACACAAACACACACGCACGAACACACACACACACACAAGATACGTGTAAGTGTACATGGTCTTCCTGGTGCAGATGCTGAGCCAGCACAATGGAAAATACCTCCATCAAGATGCTTGATCAAGTGTTGTGATAATGGCACTGTTTGTTTGTTTTTACAAAGAAGTGTGGGAAAGATTACAATGCATTATACTTGTAATTCATAATTGTTCTTTGCCTTGTACTGTGCAGACCAGAATGCTTCGCTATCAACTCCTGGCTTTCCATCGGCATGGTGTTCAGCTGCAGCGGCATCTGGTCCGGGGAGTTCAAGTTGCTGGATGGCTGCACTGACACAGGATGGGTTTGCGTTGGCAATGCGATACGGCAGTCATCCCACATCACGAGCTACATGTTTATGTAATTTATATTGTCGCTCGTCCAGCAACGTCAAGGCTCTGCATGTAAACACAGGAGAACACCATAATACTACTCAGGGGATAATAATTTTGGATATCAATTTCGTGACAATTATTAGATTCACACAATATTCACAACGTATGCAACACGATGCTGTCTATTGACACTACTTCAAACTGAAGTGCTCACTACTCCTCTCCCGTTTTCATCTCCCTCTACCTTATGAATACTCTGCATTACTGGTTTTGTTTCTACCCTTTCCATTGCTGCCAGCTCCCAGTCTTTTTCAATGCACAGCACCACCTTGACAGTCATTTTTGTGATTTGATGTACACATACGCTGAAGTTCAAATTCGAATTGCATGATCAGATTTTTGTTCCACATTTTCTATTTATTTTTACTTCAAGCACAACCCTACCGATGAAGGGAAAGAAGCAGCAGAGAGACACCTACTGAGTCTAATGACTGCCACTGTCAGTTCTCAAACAAAAACAATTTTTGTCGAATTGAAAAATCTCACCTGTCAGTGTTGCTCACTAGCCACTAGTGACTAGAGTTGTTCGTCCACGAAATTTGCAATATGCCACTACGGTACCAGCAAGAGTAGGTAAGTTGGCATAGAACAACAGCTATGCAAAGCCATGTTCATCTCCTCTTCACTTTGGAAGGCAGTACAAGCACCCTTCATACCTCGACATTGGAGTGGAAGCAAATTCACCATGATTTTTGCAATTCGCTACGATCGATCTCGGGGTGATGATCGTGTCTTCTTCATCACCACTGCAGCCTGGACAGCCTTCGGGAAGACATGTGTCACTCTCCTGCTCAACAGATTCCTACATCTAGATTTGGTTACCGTCAGGGAACGAAACAGAGCTGCAAAACACCAAAGTAATTGTTTTCTTCCATTCAATTACACTGCTGAACATGCACAGCATGGTGACAGCTAAGCAGTACGCACGTCATCAAGGCCAATTTCCAAATATGGGAGGTGTTATTTATGAAATTTGACACAGTTCCTCTTCTCTGATCGGCTCGAGACATAGCTCATCGGAATCAGTGCCCAATTCTCCTTCGGATAAGCCATACTTATTTTTGGCGTTCAGTTTCCCTTTAAAAGCAGGTGGTCGCTAAACCCAGAGGGCGCTTACACCAGGTCTTACTGTAATAATATAAGAAGAAAAGAGGACCAAAGAGCTACAAGTTACGCTATAATATCCACTAACACCACCAGTTACTTTACAATCAGCTCGTGCGATAACATTGCACGACACAAGTAATATAAACAAACTTAGAAAAAGGACACACTTCAGGTTCAACATTTTGAAATTTTCACCAGTATAATTTCAAGGCCTCTCGGCAGGTGAAATACAGGCAAAAGCCAACGAACACCGCCAATGGATCAAGGTCAGTAGAGACTAGAGAGGTCATAAATCAGAGCAAAGAAGAAAAGCTCAAAAGAACAAACGAGAATGTGTGATCTGTACACATAGAAAGAATGACAAAAAGGTGTAAGTGTGCTGAGAAAACCTAGCAACCATGACATGTAGTGGGACAGCAATAGACAACCACTGGGCATGACTAACGACCTACCGTAAGTTGTACCTAGCAGCTTAAGTGTGAAATCTAATTTGCTTCTGTTTGCAAAGGTTAGACTTTCTGTGTGTGTGTGTGTGTATACAGCTTCTAAAACATTCACCACACTTGGCACTGCATACACGTGTTAGTTAGGTTTTCTCATACTTGCACCTTTTGCCATTCTTTCCATGTGTATTGGTCACACATTTTCGTTTGTTCTTTTTAGCTATTCTTCTTTGCTCTATTTTATGACCTCTCTAGCCTCTACTGAACTTGATCCATTGGACTTTGCTTTAGCCTGTATTTCACCTGGCGAGAAGGCTTACGAGTACTCTAATTTCAGAAATTTTAGGTGCTCACTATTTTCGGTATGAGGGCAAGAGGCCACGTTGGGTGAACAGAAAAGTTCGGTACCGAGAAGCAGTTCCGTATTGGACTATGTGTGTTAGTGTTTGTTCGGTGTATTGAAATTTTAGGTATGAAACAGAGGCACTGAAAGTATCAAATATAAAAGTACACCGAAAATTTGTGAAATTACGGCATACTTGCCAGCTCCGGTGGCGGCCCAGGCCAGTATAAAAAGAACTTGATTTTGTATTGCTGTCATTCTACTGACCTGTCTACTGTACACATGTATTTTGATTCTCTCCTGCAGGCCACGTTGCCATCACGTCATCTGTCACTGGACCTAGACGACCGCAACAGCAGCAGCAGCAGCAGCAACGCTCTAGTGTTCTCTCGCAATGGCAGACAGCCACCAAGTCTGAACCTGGACTCTACGCGTACCAGATCAGCTGTCGCTGGCAGTGCTGAGCACTCAGCTGCGGGTGGCACGGCGGCGGCGGCGCAATCACCAGTTGCACCTGGTAATCCCTGCTTGGCCACCACTAACTACACGCACAACTTCTCTGGTACCCTGGACTACATCATCCCGTCAGTGGATCGTGGGCTGGAGATCATACAGGCACTCGGTGGCCAACCGGTGTCTGTTCTCTCCGAGGATACTGCTCTGCCCAGTGTACGCTTTCCCTCCGATCACCTGCCTGTCGTAGCCAGGTTGCGCTTCAAGTAGTACTGTTGTCGTGAGTACTAGCGCTAGCAGCACTGTGTGTCACTGTGTGTGTGTGTCACTGTGTGTGCGTTGCACTGTGTGTGTGTCACTGTGTGTGCGTTGCACTGTGTGTCACTGTGCGTGTCACTGTGTTAGCACTGTGGTCTGTATGCTGCCGCTGGGCAAATTTGCTAACTTACATCATACATGTTGTGGAGGAGGAAACAGATGTGCGTGCACACAGGCACGTCCAACGTTTCACACGCACACTTTGCATGCACACCCACCCACATGCACATGTGCACACACACACACACACACACACACACACACACACACACACACACACACACACACACGCGCGCGCGCGCGCGCGCAAACAGTTCCTTTTCCATGTAAAGCCTTCATCAGCCTTCACTTTTGCTTTTTTTTTAGGATGCACTGTCTGATCTGTGGACATGCTAGGTAGTTTTATTTGACATTGCACTCACTTCACTTAGGGACTTAGGTTAGTTGTAAGAATGCAAGTACCTAATCGGATATTTTGTGGTGTTTAACCATATCCCACCAAATCAAGACCAACTCCCAGTTCACTGCCCGAGGGCTATGCCCTTCCAGAGTTCTGTCCAGAGGATTCCTAATTTCCACCATACCAGTGTTCCAAGTTGGTGGTGTTGTTGTTGTTGTTGTTGTTGTTGTTGTTGTTGTTGTTGTTGTTGTTGTCATCGTTGTTGTCGTCGTTGGTGCTGTTTTCTTTCTGCTGTTGTTGTCGTTTACGCTGGCAGTGGTGCATAATGTTCTTTTCATTCATGACAATCTCAACAAGTTCCTCTACGTCTGATTCCATCCACTTCCCTTTTCACATCATCTTGGACTTTCTATGCAGGTTGGCACCCAGAGTGGTGGCATCAGCAATAGCTAGCAATTACCAAATTACCAGCCTGTTTCGTTGTCTTGTGAAAGCATTCTTCTAATTATTTTTCAATACCAATACCCAGGCCAGCGTGCCCCATTTCTCATTTTTGTACGCCGCTGTAAGATTGTTTTTGTACTCTTGCAGGCGGCGGCACTCTTATTGCAGGATCTACACTTGTCTAGCTGTGTTTGGTGAAAACCCTTTGTTTCGTTTACATTGTCAATATCGTTTATAATGTTTCTGATCCACCTGTACGTGACGGCATCATCTTTACTGGAGAGCACTGTTTTATCGCCTAGGTGCTCTTTTTCTTCTCTGCAGCACCCCACACACTAGCATCCGTTTCTTTCCAACTACATGTAGCTGTCATTGGTAGCGTGCCCATTTGACAGCAAAGTGGGTTGTAACTACCGCTGTGTACTTCACTCTCACGATCTCACTGGCATATTATTATTTCACTGCAGGTTGCTAGCCGCTTTCGTTTTTCGCTTTTTGTTGTCAAGAGCGTAACCATTTGGGTACGTTGACACTTCACTTCATTAAACGCCGCACTATGCCACCGTTCACTTACAAGTAACTTATCATTCCTTTTGAATGTACACTACAAGTACTTGTTTTTTGTTTCTAAAAAACTGCTTTCTGATGTGTGTGTGTGCGTGTGTGTGTGTGTGTTTGGTTGATGGTATGTCTGTTGGCTCTGGGTTCCCAGTACTCAGTAGCCGAGGCTGGTTGGTGAAGTAAAACACGTGTTTGGTTGATGGTATGTCTGTTGGCTCTGGGTTCCCAGTACTCAGTAGCCGAGGCTGGTTGGTGAAGTAAATCCAATTTCACTTCAAGGTACCAGTGCATCTAGTGTCTGTTTTGTCAAAGCAGCGTGCTGTCTATACTGGTTACCCCAGCAAGTGTAGGGTGTGCATAGGTAACTGTCTTGGCTGTTTTATGCCGATGTACTCCGTGTGTTGTAGACCAGGTGTGCATTGGTGGTCGATTCACATGGCTTCGCCAGTTGTGTGGATTAGACAGTTATCTGGCGCAAGTCTTGTTCTGTCTCATTTAGATCTTGTTCGCTATCGTTGCTATAAGGGGCCGTCCGTAAATATTTGGGCTCAAACGGTCACGGTTTTACCCCTAACGGTTAACTGCTAAGCTGACGGTCGGTTTAACGGTTACCGTATATTCTCTATTATAAGCGCCGTGCTTATATTTTTTCAACACCCCTCTACCCCGTGCTTATATTGGAGACCGCGCTTATATTGGAGACCGTGCTTATATTTTTTCAACCTATGCATCCATACAGAGCGAGAAGAAATACATGCTAGATATCATGCATGCAGCATTGATTTCCACCAAGACCGTGCTAATAATAGAGACTGTGCTTATAATGTTTCGAAAGGTGCTCACAGTGTGCTAGTATTGGAGACCGTGCTAGTAATGGAGACCTGTGCTTATAATAGAGAATATACGGTATAACCTATAAGCCACGGCAATCCTGCTGACTCTTTTTTAACCGTATATTTGACTATACTCATTCAAAAAATGTACCCTATTCAGTACAACGCACACATGTACATTCTCTTGCATGCTCATTCATACATACTGTCACACCAAGAGACCAGATATCTAGATATGACCGAGTTGACAGCCCAGAAATTGCGTACGCGTGCGACAGCCTGCGAAAGTGCATACTTTGCAACGACCTGATAGTTGAAGAATTGACTGAAAAGTTACTGCGTAACCGTTGTCTTTATCGGTTAACCATTAATATCTTTGTAACCGGTCTGCAACCGGTTAATCGGACTAACCGTTTGAGCCCTAGTAAATATCGATATTTTTTCAAGACTATTTTGTTCATTTCTTCCCAGACCCCCCCCCCCCCCCCAAAACGAGCATACACATGTTTATGCAGAGGATCGATACTTTTGTAACGAAGTGCAATCTCCTCATGAAGCGTGATCAGCTGCAACTCCAAATTCACCATACACCTAGGTTTACGTTGCCACGGTCGCACAACCTTGCAGTGGCTATGTTCGTGTGTTCACGACGTTGACTTTCACTGTGTGTAGGTCATAAACTACATGTTTGCACAGTGCCCGTCCATAGATAAGAGTTCGATATTTTTTTCACAAAGACAAGACGAACAGGGCCCAACCCCCCCTATACGAACGAATATCTTCTCTAAAAAAATATCGATATTTGTCAGTGCCTAAGAGAAAATCCGTGGGTGCACATCTAGTGCATTCGCAGATGTACGTGCTTCTCTTGCCACGGGCGTATGCATGGTACATGGTGTGTTTGTGTGTGTGTGTGTTTGTGTGTGTGTGTGTGTGTGTGTGTGTGTGTGTGTGTGTGTGTGTGTGTGTGTTTGTGTGTTTGTGTTTGTGTGTGTATGTAACTAATTTACAGTGACAGTGGTGTTTTACACAGACCCATAAATGAACTCAAAATGTTGCCAGCAGCCTGCTGCTGGTGGGTGGTGCAAGGGAAGGGGGGGGGGGGTATGCTGACACTAGCTGCATGCAAGGGAGGGGAGGGGTGCGCTGACACTAGCTGCATGCAAGGGAGGGGAGGGGGTACGCTGACACCTGTCCCCTGCCGGGGACACCATTCCAAGGATGCAAGATTGTCTGCACTTTTGGTGATGGTGATTTCTTCGAAATGCGCGATATCCGCAAAAAATGTCACCATTCTTGAAGTTGTGCTGCATGAAAACATCGAAAGTGCACGGGCATCAAACGGAGCGAGTTCTTGTCACGCCCGGGTCTGAACATACTTAAATATTAGTAGCATGAACCTTGCTTGAGGATGTGGATGATATTTGTTAAGCGTTTATGATGTAAATCTCCTTTTGACTCTCCCAACAGTCAATCCATGGTACAGTTGTTCACACATTACTCTGCATCATAGGGCTTGAAAGTGATGACGTCAAAAACGGCCTGGGAGTAGTAAATTGACATCAGATTTCTATTTTGGATCCACTAAGGTGTGACTTTGCTATTGCCTCAGTATGTGGGTGCATAGCAACCCACTCATGTCGTATGCAGGTGCAACTTTTACTTCGCCACCAGTTGTCACCCCGCCCCCACTAGCCAAATCAGTCAGTTTCACTGGCAACATCACCTTGCTGTGAGTGAGACCGCTTGAAATGTGCTTGGATCCATACAAAAACTGGATCCAGGTGGATCCAGTTTTCGAATTTTTCAAATTGTTGCTATGCCATTGCTATGGAGTGACGTAGCACTTTCAAGCCCTATTGTATCACCATGGTACAGTTGTTCACACATTACTCTGCATCACAATCATTGTATCACCATGGTACCACAGCACTACTGCCGCCGGCTTGGTACATGTGTAGGTATTACTAGGCAAAGGCTCAGAACAAAAATAACCCCATTATCGGCAAGGGTTCTGTACTACTGGTGCTACTGATGTTGCCATGTCTCAGTGTTCAAGTAAGTAATTATCTTATACTAGGCTCTTGCCCGGTATATGCAAGACATGGCCAGTGACTGCTGTGCCATGGGGAAACAGCATATTACTAGAAGTATGTACAGGCGCTGACGATGATGTGCCATTCAAGCAGCAAGCAGTGCACATCAAGTGCTCATCAAGACCAGGCAAGCAAAGACAACAGTCACCGTTTTCCACGTAGGTAAACCATCAAAACCAACAAAGTGTCAACTGTCAACTTACTACTGTCTTCAATCTCAGTCGCTGCTGTACAGCAGATGATCAAGTGCAACAGCAGTTCTTTGCCACTTGTAGCTCTTAGCGCAGCTTTCCTGTCACTCTGCTCCTGGCTGATATCACAGGCGGCAACTTCATGGGACTATCTGATTTTGTCGTTGGATTTCCTTTGCTGAGAGCCTGTTTGACTACTACAGCAGGCTGTTGTGGCCTGTGAGAGCTCTGTGACATACCAGGGTGTGGCCTGTGAGAGCTCTGTGACATACCAGGGTGTGGCCTGTGAGAGCTCTGTGGCAAACCAGGGTTTTTCGGGTGTTTCCGTCCAGTCCTTTGGTGCATCTCATCATCACGCTGTTTGGACATGTCCGCGACCATTTGCTCGGATTCTTCACGGATGCGCTGGAATTGTTTCTCAATCTGTGATATACACACACACACACACACACACACACACACACACACACACACACACATACACATAATGCACGGGTCCCCATAACACTGATACACTGTTCAGAAGCACACACCAAATACGCACGCAGTGTATACAGTACTGTGTTTGCATGCATTCACCGTCTGACTCATTCCAGCCCGTGCAAAGCCGCACACCAACGGAACATGGGGGCATGCTTACCCGTTTGAAGAGTCTCTGTCCTTCCTTGCTCATTGTTCCACCTTCCTTCACAGCAGCAGCTGCAGTATGAGCAGACACACAACAGTGCAACACACACAAGTGTGGACTACATATGGCAAACTGCACTAAAGCGTTCCTAGATGATCCCGTCAACTTTGCGCCGCTTTGCAGCCAGAGGGTACGTGTGGAAAGGTGTATCACGTGACTGCAGGCCTGTAACACTGGAGCAGGGATAATGGCTCCTAACTTCTATTGTGTATTAGTAATACTTGGTGTGGGCATACACATAATGAGTATAGGAGATGACGCACCACAATCCTAGCCCATGTGCTATGCCGTGACGACAGGCATTGCAAGCACGGCACACTGCATGCTGCAGACACAATGGCCATACTGCACACTGCTGCAGACACAATGGCCATACTGCACACTGCTGCAGACACAATGGCCATACTGCACACTGCTGCAGACACAATGGCCATACTGCACACTGCTGCAGACACAATGGCCATACTGCACACTGCTGCAGACACAATGGCCATACTGCACACTGCTGCAGACACAATGGCCATACTGCACACTGCTGCAGACACAATGGCCATACTGCACACTGCTGCAGACACAATGGCCATACTGCAGACACAATGGCCATACTGCACACTGCTGCAGACACAATGGCCATACTGCACACTGCTGCAGACACAATGGCCATACTGCACACTGCTGCAGACACAATGGCCATACTGCACACTGCTGCAGACACAATGGCCATACTGCACACTGCTGCAGACACAATGGCCATACTGCACACTGCTGCAGACACAGTGCCCGTATTCCCAAGCTACACAACATGCCCAGACACTCACATACACAGCAATTTACAAGACGTCTAACCAATCTCATTTCCTTCGGATACGTATAGGATATACCCTGAGCTGGAGTGTATATGGAAAATATACACCAAATACAAACCGAGGCCAAAGGCCGAGGATATACACCAAATACAAACCGAGGCCGAAGGCCGAGGTTTGTTTGATGGTGTATATTTATTGTTTCTAGAAAATACAGTGAATATACACTGGTCGAGGCTCTGTGTGATGAATGGGGGTGTATATTAAGGTAGGTATAAGTATAGATTATAGACCGGTTAGGAGGTCTATACAGGATATATAGACCGAGTAAAAGACCTCGGGGGACCTCGGTCTTTTACTCGGTCTATATATCCTGTATAGACCAACTATGAGGTCTATAATCTATTTATCGTGTTCTCCACGCAATAGTTTCTCTTCATATACGATATATCCTTGAAATTTTAGTATTATACTAGAGCCCATACCGCATTGTACGGCATTGCAGGATCAAGGTCATTGTTTAAACTAGGTTCAGCATCGGTAGCACAGTAGCTGGGTGGTAAGGAAGAGTGACTGAGATTCACATGGTTGTGGTTTCAAATCCCATCTTGTGTATTTCTGCTTTCTTCAAAAATTTCTTTTTCTAAGTTGGAGAGAAAATTTCTAAGTCCAAGAAATTAAAGGAGTCAAATATAAGTAGTCAAATTTAGAAAAGCGATCCTGTCAGCTTTTCTATTATTGTGTTCACATGGCGCTACCTAACGACACCGCTATTCAGACACGTTGTCTACGTAGCTACGTAAGTTTCTACGTAAGATGCTCGGTACCTGGTCCTGGACCAGGGAGCTACTCCATGGCTCCTACCATCGCGCGGCCGGCTGGCCGCATGCGTGTGCATTGCAGACTTTTTTGTTGTTGCCTTTTCGGATGTGCATGCACGAGGAACTTCCTTCTTTGGAACTGCTTCTTGCATGAGCTGTTTCGGATATTTCGTCTCCTGGCCTGCCTTATTTCGTTTCTGCGCTGCTGAGACCTCCTTTCGCGGAATATTACTCAATGACAGGTGAGTTGACCAGTTCCCTTTGATTCATTTGCTTGTGTTGACTCTTTCATTTACGAAAAGTGTGCTGATTTTGGGCGGAATGCAATTAATAATGGAAAAGCTGACAGGATCTCCTTTCTAAATTTTGCTTTTCCGCTGCCGAGGCCTCCTTTTACGGAATACTCAATGACAGGTAATCTCTGAGTTGACCAGTTTCCTTCGATTCATTTGCTTATGCTCACCCTTTCATTTACGGAAACGTGTGCTGATTTTATTCGGATTTAGATCCATTTTTATCTCTTTGCCCTTGCCTACAGTGTGCGAAGAACGGGAGTTCACCTTCTTGACGGTAAGGCTTATGTTAGATGTGTTGTCGAAATACTCATATTCATTGCACATTAGTACGTTACAAGTAAGGCACTGGTCAGTGGCATACTATCGTTGGCAGTTCCCAATCTGGAGGGAAAGGTTCAAGGACTCATCGACCGAGTTTGCCAAATAAATTCGCATATCAGGGAAAATCTCCATTGTGGAGAAGTTCAGTAACTTGTTTGCTTCATACGAAACAAGCCAATGGGTGCAGTCTCGTCTCGTGAAAATCTCGTACTTGTATGATTGGATTTGTTCACGCGAGTCTGGGCTGTTTGATTTGTGAGTACCGCCGAGATTGCACTGCCCCAAATAAAGTTTCGTGCCGCCAAAGCAAGAATTACGATCTGCAATCTGTTTGTAGTACCTGTAGTACCTGCAAGAATGTGCAGTACATGTATCGTACTTTCTCTGTTGCTGTTTCAGTTGCTGACATGTTGCTAAAGAAAGGTTCAGTAGAGAGGTTCTGCAAAACGAAAATTCGAACGAAGTTTCGCGACAGTCCTTGCGAAAGTGTGTACGAATTTTTGCACGAACTTTGCGTCCTGCACATTTTCGTGGTTTGCGCGGGCCAAGTGCACGTACGCCATGACCCGATCTCACGAAATTTCCTACAACAGTTCATTTCGCGTTCCCTGCAAGTTTCGCGTCCAAAGTTGCGAAAGTTCGTGCGAAGTTTCGCACTTCATGATGTAGAGCGAAAGTTTGTACGCATTTTCGTTTTGCAGAACCTCTCTAGTGACTCTTTTGTTTCATACGAGACGAGTCACTGAGTCGGTGTGGCTTAGAATCTTTCGCTGTAGAAGAAATCTATTCGTATGTCTATTGGAGAAATAATTGTATTCACTGGTTATAAAATAGGTTAAGACAAACCCACAGAATAAATACCATCTGTCCCTTGGTGTTCGTCCTAAAGAGGTTCGACTGGATATCATTCATACTCACCAAAAGATGTGTAAGATTTTATTATCACGGAGTGCCTTGTTTATCTCTCAGTATCAGTACCTCCAACCATAGCCTTGACCTCTTTATCCTCAGGATCAGTGTAGTTGTTGGAACGAGGGGTCGGACTCAGCAATGTATTTGTTTACATTTTAATACATGTTTATTGTTCCTCCTTTGCTGTGTTGTTTTAGAAAATCGTGGACTAACAGTTTGAAGTCATTGAACTACTTCCAAAACTTGTATCGACATCAACAGGATTACGATTTCAGTGCAATATGATGCTGGATGACCTTATCACGATAACCCATGATTATAAACCATTATAAACACAAAATCAACAAAAACATCTGCGACACGCACCTGGGGCATGGCTACATTTCTCAAATAAATCTGATAGAGGGTGGGGAAATCTGAAATATCTGAAAGGCAAGACAAATTTATGACAAGAGTCATGATATTCTGCAACAGCAACATGCACAGAATGACCTGTGTATAAAAAAAGTATAACCACCACTACTCACATGTTATTATTATTTATTTTACTAGGGTGTTTCCCACAGACCTATGGTCTTCTTAAGGGAGCCCCTAGAAAGGTTAAGCATGAACGAACAAATGGGCGATAATCTGTTCCCCCGCAAAAGAACATGCATTATGCTATTGCCATTTTCTGCAAGAAAAGGCTTGCACATCAATGCGTATAATACGGTATTGATTTGATCAAGAGTACATAAACCTCTTGATATGATGTGAAGGCCATCATTTACATATTGATATACATTCCATTGATTGGTGACAGAAAAAAACAAAAGAAATTATAGCAATAAAAACTGCTTTATGGCAGTTTTCTAAAAAAAGTTATTGTGTTCTAGTCCATGGACCCCGTCTAAAAAGTAAGAAATTACCGAAATGTGATAGCTGAAAATTACAATTTCACACAAAACCTCACAATAATCACACACATAATTAAAAGCTACATGTAGAAGACCTTTTCCACTCGTGATCCTCTTTCCTATGCATGCATGTTGCCAATTGTTGGTGCAGTACAAGTTAAAGTTGAAAGCAGCATTTCAAGTGTTGTGATTATTGTGAGGTTTTGTGTGAAATTGTAATTTTCAGCTATCACATTTCGGTAATTTCTTACTTTTTAGACGGGGTCCATGGACTAGAACACAATAACTTTTTTTAGAAAACTGCCATAAAGCAGTTTTTATTGCTATAATACATGTATATTGTGTATTTGACTAAGCAGTCAAATACGCGATATATTTGACCGCTTAGGTATCAGGGAAATTAGTGGGGTCAAATACTAAGAAGGCGATAAAGTAGATTATCACTCTCTTATTATTGACCCCCACAGAAACTTGTGATCTCTAAGCGGTCAAATATCAGCATATATTGACCGCTTATATTGACCACTTATTATTGACCACTTTAAAAAAAAAATAGCCCGAGGACTTAGAACTTTTTCCTCAACTTAGAAAAAAATCAGAACTGAAAGAAGAAAAATCTGAAGCCAAATGCTGGGATTTGAACCCAAACTGTCAGATTCTCAGTCAAAGAACTTGGGGAACATACTACAAGAGACAACTGAAAACTTCGGTTTACACAGAAGTAATGTCCAATGTAAACGGCATACGTACATACTATTATACTATTACAATAGTATTCCTTTCTTCCTATAGCGAAGCAAAAACAGTTTTAGGTATGCTATGTCGTGATAAATCTATTATTGCCCTCATAATCGGTCAATATATGAAATATAGACCTCGTAAAAGACCTCGGGGGACCTCGGTCTTTTACTCGTTCTATATTTCATATATTGACCTCTTTAATCGTGCAATAATAGATACATATACAGTAGCACCACTTGAAGACCTATTCATAAAGGGCTTGTAGGTGGGTACTCAGGAGCTTCCAGTCACTCACCTAAGGGCTTCTCTGACACTGTTGGTCTGTCTCGGATGGAGTCTAATATTCCAGTCATGATCTCTCCAGGCTGTTGCGCAACCTGCCTCTGCTCTGGCAAGCCAAGCTAAAGCAGACAAGAGAAAAGAAAGCAGATCTGTCTGTTTTGCTCATACAAAGGCTATGCCGTAAAGAAGCCAATAGCCATGATAACATGATTCAAGTCGTGCCTTGGCAGTCGGAGGAAAGATGGTGAGTTCCAGTGCTCAGAGCAGTCACGTTCTTCACATATTGCCAGCAAACTGTCACACATCTTAGCAAGTACTGGTAGTCACAGAGACAAGTACTGGTAGTCACAGAGACGCATGCCTGGTGTGTGTGTGGGGGGGGGGGGCATATGCTGTCACCAATATTCACGCAATACTGGGGATAGCTAGGCTTGCGTGGCTTGCGTGCCATCCTGCCGGTGGGACATAAGGAGCCGCTCTACAAAAGTGCTTTCGGTTGAGAATTTTCTCAAAACAAATTGTTGAGACGAGGTCAAGCGGCTTTGTAAGACAAAGTAATGGCACACAATCCAAGATTATGCCCTGTGTACAAACAATCTCTTCGAGGAGACAATAATTTCAATAGACCCATGAATAAAATGAAGGCCGCAGACATCACACAACTATGTTACTTGTTCGACATGTATGTGTATTTTATAACAATAATTTACGGTATCCGCAGTCGTTATTAGCGAAGTTGACTGTATAACCGTAGTGAAACATGTTCTTTTTGTTTGCATAAACCAGGCTTATGCACACGATTACAAACAGCTTCAAGGACTTTCAGCTGGTTGCTTGCTAGCCTTCCTACATTGTTTCATTGCATTTTTTTAGCAACCCTAATGTGCCACTGCTGTACCACTGCTTGATTATATAACTGTAGTTCCGTAAGTATGATTTACTGCACGAGTACAAACGAGTACAAGGGCAATACCGGCTGATACATGACCGAACGGCGCCAGCCGTGAGGTCATGTATCAAGCCGATATTGCCCGTGTACGAGTGCGTACAGTAAATCATTTATTGCATGCTTGAGCCAAACATTCCAGAAAATGGAGAGAAACCTTTCCGACTTTCTCAGTCTCCCGACACACTTGTTCAGTGGTAAACGTCGTTTGTGGTTTTGAAATTCTCTATTTCTTTACGATATCGATGGTGTTGTTGTTCGTGATTGAGCACTGCGTGTAGGAACAGGAACTGAAACTGGGTTGGGCTCCACAACTTCGTCTTGAACGCATTCAGTTCGTCAAGTAGTTCGTAGGCTGCTCATCAACGCATCGATATCGATGTCAAGGTTGCATTCACCTGCTGAGGCGGCTGGTTCAGGTGGCTGGAACAAGTAAGTTATTGTCAGCTCAGTTACATGCGCGCGTGTGGTCTGTCATTCTCGTGCTTTGTAGTTTGTAGTCAGATCAAGTTGCTGTTTTGTGTTTCAAATTTGAAACTCCGAACAGTAGAAACTTGATCTGATCACGAACCACAAAGTACAAGAATGACAGTCCGCATGCGCGTACATGTAACTGAGCGGGCAATACCGAGAAATACAGACCGTTGAGCAAGAGCGCTCATTGGCTGTAGTACAGGCAACCCTCACGTGACATGCAATAAATTCCACTAATGATCGGGACAAAAAATCGATTCCGAGTGGATTATAATAATTATTGTTATAAAATACACATACATATCGAACAAGTAACTTAGTTGTGTGGTGTCTGCGGCCTTCATTTTATTCAAGGATCTATTAAAACTATGTCCAGACATTTCACATGTGCAATAACTAGTCACAATGACCGTACACGCTCCGGTCAGAGCGCTAGCAACTACATGTATGTCCAAGGTGAACTTTGACCATGACACATCGATTGGGGCGAGGACTTACTGTCGTTCTGAGCAGAGTTGCCATGGCAGTGAAGTGCAACATCCCATACTCCACTTCCGTGGTTGCCATGCGGTGTTGCCATGGTATTTCGTAATATGCCTTGTATGATCACGTCTTAGATTCGTGGACTTCTTCATTAGCCCCCTTGGGCCGCACTGCTTAGGGTAAGGTTTTAGGTCAATGTTAGAACAGAGGCCGTACTGAGCATACCTGTGTATGATGGTGCTACCGGTGGGTCCTACCGGTAGGACCGAGGTCTATGCAAGCTATCATTAAGCCCTTATACAACAAATGTCAGATGAACACTATGCGCTTGGTGCAGCTCACGCCATACTATGAGAGTAAGACCCCGATCTCCTACATGTGATCTAGTTTCATCTTTCCCGTTGCCCAACCAACTAACCAACCAACTAACCAACCAACTAACCAACCAACTAACCAACCAACTAACCAACCAACTAACCAACCAACTAACCAACCAACTAACCAACCAACTAACCAACCAACTAACCAACCAACTAACCAACCAACTAACCAACCAACTAACCAACCAACTAACCAACCAACTAACCAACCAACTAACCAACCAACTAACCAACCAACTAACCAACCAACTAACCAACCAACTAACCAACCAACTAACCAACCAACTAACCAACCAACTAACCAACCAACTAACCAACCAACTAACCAACCAACTAACCAACCAACTAACCAACCAACTAACCAACCAACTAACCAACCAACTAACCAACCAACTAACCAACCAACTAACCAACCAACTAACCAACCAACTAACCAACCAACTAACCAACCAACTAACCAACCAACCAACCAACCAACCAACCAACCAACCAACCAACCAACCAACCAACCAACCAACCAACCAACCAACCAACCAACCAACCAACCAACCAACCAACCAACCAACCAACCAACTAACCAACCAACTAACCAACCAACTAACCAACCAACTAACCAACCAACTAACCAACCAACTAACCAACCAACTAACCAACCAACTAACCAACCAACTAACCAACCAACTAACCAACCAACTAACCAACCAACTAACCAACCAACTAACCAACCAACTAACCAACCAACTAACCAACCAACTAACCAACCAACTAACCAACCAACTAACCAACCAACTAACCAACCAACTAACCAACCAACTAACCAACCAACTAACCAACCAACTAACCAACCAACTAACCAACCAACTAACCAACCAACTAACCAACCAACTAACCAACCAACTAACCAACCAACTAACCAACCAACTAACCAACCAACTAACCAACCAACTAACCAACCAACTAACCAACCAACTAACCAACCAACTAACCAACCAACTAACCAACCAACTAACCAACCAACTAACCAACCAACTAACCAACCAACTAACCAACCAACTAACCAACCAACTAACCAACCAACTAACCAACCAACTAACCAACCAACTAACCAACCAACTAACCAACCAACTAACCAACCAACTAACCAACCAACTAACCAACCAACTAACCAACCAACTAACCAACCAACTAACCAACCAACTAACCAACCAACTAACCAACCAACTAACCAACCAACTAACCAACCAACTAACCAACCAACTAACCAACCAACTAACCAACGAACTAACCAACCAACTAACCAACCAACTAACCAACCAACTAACCAACCAACTAACCAACCAACTAACCAACCAACTAACCAACCAACTAACCAACCAACTAACCAACCAACTAACCAACCAACTAACCAACCAACTAACCAACCAACTAACCAACCAACTAACCAACCAACTAACCAACCAACTAACCAACCAACTAACCAACCAACTAACCAACCAACTAACCAACCAACTAACCAACCAACTAACCAACCAACTAACCAACCAACTAACCAACCAACTAACCAACCAACTAACCAACCAACTAACCAACCAACTAACCAACCAACTAACCAACCAACTAACCAACCAACTAACCAACCAACCAACCAACCAACCAACCAACCAACCAACCAACCAACCAACCAACCAACCAACCAACCAACCAACCAACCAACCAACCAACTAACCAACCAACTAACCAACCAACTAACCAACCAACTAACCAACCAACTAACCAACCAACTAACCAACCAACTAACCAACCAACTAACCAACCAACTAACCAACCAACTAACCAACCAACTAACCAACCAACTAACCAACCAACTAACCAACCAACTAACCAACCAACTAACCAACCAACTAACCAACCAACTAACCAACCAACTAACCAACCAACTAACCAACCAACTAACCAACCAACTAACCAACCAACTAACCAACCAACTAACCAACCAACTAACCAACCAACTAACCAACCAACTAACCAACCAACTAACCAACCAACTAACCAACCAACTAACCAACCAACTAACCAACCAACTAACCAACCAACTAACCAACCAACTAACCAACCAACTAACCAACCAACTAACCAACCAACTAACCAACCAACTAACCAACCAACTAACCAACCAACTAACCAACCAACTAACCAACCAACTAACCAACCAACTAACCAACCAACTAACCAACCAACTAACCAACCAACTAACCAACCAACTAACCAACCAACTAACCAACCAACTAACCAACCAACTAACCAACCAACTAACCAACCAACTAACCAACCAACTAACCAACCAACTAACCAACCAACTAACCAACCAACTAACCAACCAACTAACCAACCAACTAACCAACCAACTAACCAACCAACTAACCAACCAACTAACCAACCAACTAACCAACCAACTAACCAACCAACTAACCAACCAACTAACCAACCAACTAACCAACCAACTAACCAACCAACTAACCAACCAACTAACCAACCAACTAACCAACCAACTAACCAACCAACTAACCAACCAACTAACCAACCAACTAACCAACCAACTAACCAACCAACTAACCAACCAACTAACCAACCAACTAACCAACCAACTAACCAACCAACTAACCAACCAACTAACCAACCAACTAACCAACCAACTAACCAACCAACTAACCAACCAACTAACCAACCAACTAACCAACCAACTAACCAACCAACTAACCAACCAACTAACCAACCAACTAACCAACCAACTAACCAACCAACTAACCAACCAACTAACCAACCAACTAACCAACCAACTAACCAACCAACTAACCAACCAACTAACCAACCAACTAACCAACCAACTAACCAACCAACTAACCAACCAACTAACCAACCAACTAACCAACCAACTAACCAACCAACTAACCAACCAACTAACCAACCAACTATCACATACAATACAGAGTGAAAACAACTACATGTAGCAGAGCAGCATTGTCACACCCCGAACCGAACTGAACCGAACTGAACCGAACTGAACTGAACTTATCCATCCTGAAGTGTTCACAGACACTGTACCTTGTTTGCATGCTTTGGCTGTGCCAGCTTATTAGCATGAATGATCCTCTCCGCTGGCATACTGCGATCGAGAAGTGACTTGAGCATCCTGGCACAGCTACCTTGCACTGCAGTGGACAGCACAAGACACATAGTGATAATGATTGTACGTCAGTACTAGATAAGTAGTTACCAACGCAGCAGCCTGGAGAGTACTACCGTGTCATCCTCTCTAGACATGCACAGCATGCACAGAGAGTGAAGAGGCCAAACCTGCCAAGACACGCATAGCACCGTCACACACTGCTATCATAGCAGTGTGTGTACGTGGACGGCAATGCTCCGGCTTGCACTTGTCGGAACTAATAAGTTCTCACCTGCCTGCATAGGAATTCATGGGTAATCACTTCAGGGATATTCTAAAGGTGACCAGATAGTACGTTGAACCTAGAATCTGCCGCACATTATCATTAATATGTTGAAAACACTGATGATGCCATCTCAACCCTCAAGACACCAGCTTAATGTCACGGTCAGATACTGTACTTCTCAAGACACCAGCATCTCAACCCTCAAGACACCAGCATAATGCCACAGTCTGATAGTACTGTAGCTCTACATGCCGCTATGTTGTGACGCCCCCGGGATGGGATGGGATGGGATGGGATGGGATGGGATGGGAGGGGACGGGACGGGACGGGACGGGATGGGATGGGTTGGGATGGGATGGGTTGGATTGATTCAGCTCAACAATTACTTACTTGTCGGAATCACTAAATTCGGATCGTCCTCAGCATTGGCGAGCAATTCATAAGCATCCTCACTGATAGACATTGGCGGCTTCTGCCTCGGCTGGGAGGATCTCGGCCGTGTATGCTTGCGGTGATTGACTGTCTTCCTGGGCGACTTCTTCATAGCACGTCGCTGCAGTGGTTCAGAGACATTGGTGCGGCGGTGCTGAATGTCGCTAGCTGTGTCCCATGGTATGACAGCCATCGTTCCAGGATCCCTGGCTGCTACCTCTTCAGCCATGGATCCTAGGCTGACACGGCCTGGCGTCCTTGCTTCTTCAGTAAGTGTGTAGTTATCCGCTGAGTACATACCCAGGCTGTTATCATCCTCCACTACCTGGGTGAGGAAGACATTCGACATGTCCTTGGCATCCCGCTCCGTCACGCTCAGGTAGTGACGGCGCATTGCTGGATGCGCACGTGAAATAGACTTGCCTGGAAACATGGTGTCCGTCGTTGCCGCTGTCATACAAGACTTGATATCGCGCTGAGGTTCCTCGTTAGCAAACATGTTCTTTGTCGGTGCAGTGGTGTTGGGGCGTCGAGGCAGCTCATCGGCCGCAGTGCCCGTTTTGCCACGCTGGAACTGGATGGGCAGCTCTGGAGACTGGGAGTCAGTTGCCTGCTTTTTCTGCTTCCAATTCTGGCCAGGGTAGGTGTGAGGGCGAGATGGCAGCTGTGGGATGATAGACTGGCTGGGCGATATTGACGGTGATTCAGTCTCTTCAAGTAATGGTAGTGGTGGTGACTGGTGATACTCCAACATCATGGCTCTTTCAGAGGAAATACGCTCTTCAACTGGCTGACGTGGTATAGCAGGAAGACGATCCCTGCCATCAACCTAGGGACAAAGATTCAAAAGAATCATTTGGAAACATTGATTGTAGTAAAGAGAAGGGACACATGGATATGAATTATGAGCAACTGTCCACCGCTGTAACTAGATATTTAAAACGGTCAGAAAGGACGACAATTACAAACTGTAGATACCAAACTGACAGAGTATTGAAACATTCAAGACTGACCTGACACCTATTAAACTGTTAGCTCCAACACATCTCCAATGCGCAAACCAACAGCCTTCCAACTTGGAAGGTTCACGGTTAAGGAAAGACCAAGGGAGGGGGGGGGGAGGCGAGCGCAACTAAAATGAGTACAAGCTAACCAACGACAACAAAGAACGTCGACTGTAACTAGATGACGAGGAGACCAACAAGGTACTTGACAATGTGATCCTACTACAACTCAAAGCAGCAAGGCAACACACTCCAACTTGGGTGGCTCGGAAATATCAAAGATAAAACAGAAGGGGGGGGGCTTTGCAGAAATGACTTGTACAAAACTGAACGCCAATTACCTACTGATGAGGGAGGACTTTTAGTGGAATCCTGTCAGTAAGCACTGGTTCTTCATATTCAACAGAATTGTGTATCTACGTATTCAGCTGGACAAAGATCTCTCCAACCTCTATGAGATCGACACTCCGGAACTCAGCAAATTGTCCTTGTCTCGACAATTTCTCATGCTGTGTGCTAGCCGTATCACTGACGCAATGATGTCAATGCTCACCTCAATGAAATTATCCAGAGACATCTTCACGGCCATCTGCTGAGAGCTGGGCACTGTCCTTGTCACAGAAACGCCTTCAGGGTTCCTGAAATACACACAAGCACATCCGGTTTGTTAGCATGCAGAAAGTTACCCGAACAGCTTCGTTATTCATGTATATGTGGCTAAAAGAGACCCTTCCTTACCATTGCTCTTACCCTTTTCACTACGTCATAGGAGTTGAAAAAAAGTCACTGCCACATTCTGATAGTTCACTAAGAAACCGGGCAATGTGAATTATCTTAGCCATACAGGCTGGCTGGCAATGTGGATTACCTTTGCCACACAGGCTGGCTGGCAATGTGGATTATCTTTGCCATACAGGCTGGCTGGCAATGTGGATTATCTTTGCCATACAGGCTGGCTGGCAATGTGGATTATCTTTGCCATACAGGCTGGCTGGCAATGTGGATTATCAGGCGCGTGCACCGCGTGGTTTTCTTGGAGCCCGGAAACCACCTTTTTACATCCGCTAATGGCGCTATGAAGTGCATTCTGCAAACACTCAAATATTTCGTAACTCGGCTTTCCCTGAATGCAATTGAGTAATCGAAAGGTCTATTCGCATTAGAAAGTTCTCATCTGTCGGCTCCAACAAATCCGAAGTCGATCCAAGGTCGAATAGTGGAGTTACGCACTCGACAGGTATTTTACGTCCCATTGCAAATTTTCACTTCCGCACTTGGGTGGCAATTATTATTGTCATAAATATTTCCTCTATTGCACGACAGTCCATACATGCATAGACGTAGACATGTTTGACGTCAGGCACAGGTCTTTAGCGGTTAGCTACAAAAGAAAGGAGCGCTCTACGATGAATACTACATGTACAAAACACCATGGATCTTAGCGAATTGTCTCAATTTCCGGTTGTGCGTGTCTTCCCAGGGCTATAGACTAGTGCCACTGCAGACTCAGACAGTGACATGGATTGACCTGCTTTTTTGACTCACTTACTAGCAAGAATCGTCCTTCACTACTTCTAACTACTTGTATAACGTCGGCTAGCGGCTAAGCCTATTCTAGGGAGGGCCCAAATATGCTTAAAAATTTCGCATATTATGCTTTTCGCATATTGGCCACTTGCTTCAAAATATGCTTCGAAATCACACAAAAGCAGAAAAATATGCCCGAAATATGCTCGAAATATGAACTGTTATCAGTGATAATTATGCGAATTTTTTGCTCCTTGTAGCAAAATATGCTACATTTGGTACAATGTGCTAGATTTGCTACTTTATGCGACCTTGAGTCGCGGACACTCTCTTCTCGGGTCAATTTCGACCCTTGTTTGGATGAGCATTTTTCCTTCCGGGCTAAGTTTGGAAGTGTTCCCTGACCGAGCGTGCCGTGGTAAGTAAGTTTCTTTGTCCATTCCCGCAATCTACCCTATAACTATGCGAATTCTTTGCTACTTGTGGCAAAATATGCTACATTTGGTACAATATGCTAGGTTTGCTACTTTATGCGACCTTGTGTCAAAAGGACCAAATATGCGAAAATATCTGCAAGCATATTCGGGCCCTCCCTAGCCTATTCCTTTATCCTGTGTCAGGAAAATGCCTTTGTACCACATTTGTTTTGATGGCCCGGTGGGACTGGCAGCCATAACTTTTAAAGCTTTCTTTCAGTGTGTAATGCGTGTAATACTGCTGAATCTGCAGGTAGCTTATTGTAAAATGGCGTTCGAAAATTTTTGGAAACCACCTTTTTTTGACCCGGTGCACGCGCCTGATTATCTTTGCCATACATGTTGTGTCATGTACTGACATAAGGAAGTAGTTTATTTTACAGACAGATGAGTGTAGATATAGTGAAGAGTCAGGGAGGCCATGCCCAGCAGAGCATGGTATCGTGCGTAGCACGGGGGTAGTGAGAGGTCACGTACCGTCTATACATGGCGACAGGCAGGGGAAGGACTATGCCGTGAATGGGTGAAAGGATAACATGATACAGGATAGGACATCTCCCCCTTTTTGAAAAAAAATTAAGGAGAGCAAAAAACACAACAGCTGGGAAAAAGACTGTTATGGAGAAAAGGCAAGACAGATACATGTACGGGTTGTACATAGCCGGGCACATAGAACAGAACTATGCAATGCGCGGGAGAGCAATAGCAATAGCATGAAGCCAGAGAGAGTTATATGGTAGCGATCAATCTCTGCGGTGGCTGGATGTTGTTGCGAGCACGGAGAGTTGGCTGTGACGTAGGCACAGGCGGTTGTTGCGGGACTAGCGCGGCCGGTGGTACTGCTGGCACCGGTCCAGGAGGAGTCACTGGCTGGAGCAACTTCACTGCACGGCGGTTTCGGCGCAGAAGACCGGATGAGGTGGCGATGTTGTAGGAGCGATCGGTGAGTTGCTCAACCACTGTACCCTCGCGCTTGTCGTCGACCCACACTTTCGCTCCCAGTGGCAGAGGGGAGAGCGACTTTGCTGCGAAGCGTTGATCGAAGTGATCTTCTTGCCGATGCTTAGCCTCCTGCTCCTTGGCCCGGAGAGCGGTGATGTCTGGCCAGGAGGGTTGCAGGAGATCAGGTGGGCACGGAAGATTGGTGCGGAGCCTGCGGCCGTACAATAGTTCGGCGGGCGAATAGCCGTTGGCCAGGGGTGTGGAGCGATACGCTAGGAGGGACTGCTGTAGATCACCTGGCGCACGGATGAGTCGTTTGGCAGTCTGCACGGCGCGTTCTGCTTCGCCGTTGCTTTGAGGATGCTTCGGGCTGCTGGTCCGATGCGTGATGTTGCACGACGACATAAACTGTGCAAAGGCGTCGGAAGCGAACTGTGGCCCGTTATCGCTGACGAAGATGTCCGGATAGCCGTGGGCAGCAAATATGCTCTTCAGATGAGTAATGACGGCCCGTGACGTAGTCGATGAGAGACAAGCGACATCAATGTAACGGGAGAAATAGTCGACAGTAATCAGGTACTGGCGGCCGTCGACATCACAGAGATCCGATGCGATACGCTGCCACGGACGCTCGGGGAACGGAGTTGTCTGAAGAGGCTCTGGAGACTGATGACGCTGCTTGATACAGGTAGTGCACTTGGCGACGTACGCCTCGATGTCGGCAGAGATACCTGGCCACCATGACGAGAAGCGGGCACGGGCTTTACTCTTCGTGACACCTTGGTGACCATCGTGCAGCTTCTGGAGGATCTCAGGCTGTAGCACGGACGGAACAACCAGGCGAAAGCCGTGGCACAATACACCTTGCATGTGAGACAACTGGCCTCGCTCACGATGGAACGGCTTGATGTCGTCAGGGACGGTAGCAGGCCAGCCATGGATGACGTAGCGCATCACACTGGATAACACGGGATCTTCAGACGTAGCCTTGGCTAGGTCGGCGAGAACGGATGGACTTGTGAGATCTTCGGCTGTGGTTGATAAAACCATGCCGATGTCGTCTTGCAGAACGTTGTCAACTGATGCCGATGCTGGCGCTCGTGAAAGCGTGTCAGCCACCACCAGATCCTTGCCGGGAACGTGTATGGCATGGACTTCGTACCGGAGGAAGCGGAGCAGCATTCGTTGGCATCGGATGGGAACCTTGTCCAGGTCTCTGGTGTTGATCAGTGGCACTAGCGGCTTGTGGTCCGTCTGCACGATGAACCTGGGAGCGCCGAAGAGGTACTGGTCTAACCTCTCGCACGTCCACACCGCTGCGAGGCATTCCTTTTCGATCTGCGCGTAGCCTTGTTCCGTCTTGGTCAGGGAACGGGAGGCGTAGGCTACTGGGCGCCAGTCGCCATCGTGCTTCTGGAGCAGAACACCACCAATGCCATAGCTGCTGGCATCGGCACTGACCATGATGGGACGCTTGGGGTCATAGTGCACTAAGCACGGGGCTGAAACGACGAGCTCTTTCAGCCGACGGAACGCGTCCTGCTGCGGGGAGTCCCAGAACCAATCAGTGTCGGTGTGCAGGAGCTGACGGAGGGGCGCTGAGATCGTAGCCAATTCCGGGATGAATCTGGCGACGTAGGTGAAGAGACCTAAGGCACGGCGAAGCTCAGGAACATTCGTAGGCTCCTTGAGGTCGTCAATGGCGGAGACTTTGCTGGGGTCGGGTTTCACACCGGACCCGCTGACGATGTGTCCCAGGTACTTGACTGATGACTGCTTGAGGTGGCATTTGTCGGGGTTTAGAGTGATGCCTGCGTCGGCAAGGACCTGGCGCGTTGTGTCCAGCCGGTGGTCGTGTTCAGCTTCGTTAGCGGCGTGGACCAGAACGTCGTCCATGAATACCTCGGAACCTTTGACGTGGGAGAGGAAGTCCTGCAGGCGTCGCTGGAAGATTTCCGGTGCAGAGGTTATACCGAAAGGCATCCGGAGGAATCGGAACCGACCCACAGGCGTGATGAACGTGGTCAGCTTGGATGCAGACTCCGTGAGAGGCACTTGCCAGAAGCCGCTGTTGGCATCCAGCGTGGAAAAGACAGTAGATCCGGCGAGCCTAGCCAGTGTGTCCTCAACTGTCGGAAGAGGGAAGTGCTCGCGCTTCACGTTGCCGTTCAGCTTCTTTAGGTCTACGCAGATCCGTACGCGACCATTAGGTTTACGAACCGGCACCATAGGAGAGCACCAGTCAGAGGGACCCGTTTCCCGGACGATGATGCCCATTTCCTCCATACGTGCGAGCTCTTCTGTGACCTTGTCCTGTAGAGGCAGAGGCACACGGCGGGCAACACCACAGTGGTACGGCGTGGCGTCGTCCACGAGCTTGATATCAGCTGGGGGCCCAACCATACAACCGATGGGCTGTGCTGGCTTGCTGGTACACGATTCTGCTGCATCTAAACGCTGGATCAGGCGAAGTCGGAGGCAGTCTCTGCGACTCAACAGGTTGGTAGATCCAGGACCATCGATAACTACGATCTCCATAGAGAACAGTTCACTCTTGTGCATGGTGTCTGCAGTGAACTGACCCTTGATGGATAGAGGTGCACCAGATGGACCAAGGAGTTTGGTAGTGGATGGTGTGAGTACAGGGCGTTGTACGAGATTCTGATACGTGGAGTGCGTGATACATGATACATCTGCACCTGTGTCGATCTTGAATATCAAATTTGTCGAGCAAACAGGCAGACTTACTGACCAGGCGTCGGTGGACTGGGAAGGACTGGCGTTGGATGACAGCTCTGCAACACCACCCATGAATGGCGACGGGGACACGAGCGATTCATCTTCGACAGCTCTGGCACCACGCGTGGTTGCTGGAGTGGAAAGACAGACGGCGGCGAAGTGGCCCTGCTTGCCGCATGAATTACACTTGCGACCAAACGCAGGACACGCAGAACGGTTACTCTTGTGCGAACCAGCGTGGCCACACCACGGACATGTTGAAGCTGCAGTGCCGCTCTTCCTCTGCGTGGACGGCGTTGGTGCAGGCTTCGACGGAACGCCGCTGCGCTGGCGGCGACTCCTTGCATCTTGCTGCTTTCCTCCAAAGCGGGATGCAGCATTGACCTGCGGCCTGGCGGCTTGCGCTGCAACGTCTCCGGAAATTTTCTCGGCCTGCCTGGCCCTGAGAACTGCGTCCGTGAGGGTGAGTTTTGCGGGCTCAATCAGCTGCAACTCCTTGGCGACTTGACGATCCAGAATGTGAGCCACGAGGCGATCTCGAATTCTGTTGTCCTTCTGGTCACCAAAGTCACAGAACTTCGCTGCTGCGTGAAGTTTCCGAACAAATTCTTCCACGGACTCTCCTGGAAGATGGACACACTGTTCGAAAATGGTCCTCTGGTGAAACACGTTCAATGCTGGCGTAAAGTAAGCATCCAGCTTCGTCATGACCTTGTCATACTTGTCTTCGTCTCCAACGGTGTCGAATACCAGTTGATCGAAGACAGTTTCGGCCTCTGGGCCCAGCGAGTAGAGCAACGTAGAGATTTGCACTTTCTCGTCTTTCGCGTTGAGCTCTGAGGCGAGGCGATATCTCGCAAACCGGCGTTTCCAAGCCGGCCAGGCATCTGGAATGGAGAAATCAAAGTCTGCAGGCGGCGCGAACTTGGCCATTTCTACTAGAAGTGTAGACCTGGTTGACTAACTTCTGACACCATGTTGTGTCATGTACTGACATAAGGAAGTAGTTTATTTTACAGACAGATGAGTGTAGATATAGTGAAGAGTCAGGGAGGCCATGCCCAGCAGAGCATGGTATCGTGCGTAGCACGGGGGTAGTGAGAGGTCACGTACCGTCTATACATGGCGACAGGCAGGGGAAGGACTATGCCGTGAATGGGTGAAAGGATAACATGATACAGGATAGGACAATACAGGCTGGCTGGCAATGTGGATTATCTTTGCCATACAGGCTGGCTGGCAACGTGGATTATCTTTGCCATACAGGGTGGCTGGCAATGTGGAATATCTTTGCCATACAGGCTGGCTGGCAATGTGGATTATCTTTGCCATACAGGCTGGCTGGCAATGTGGATTATCTTTACCATACATGCTGGCTGGGAATGTGGATATCTTTGCCATACAGGCTGGCTGGCAATGTGGATTATCTTTGCCATACAGCTGGCTGGCAATGTGGATTATCTTTGCCATACAGGCTGGCTTGATAGCGACATGCATGATGGGTGCATATCATGCACTTCACCGATAATACAGTTGAACATCGATTATCCGACCACCTCTGGGCAGACAACTGTCAGGCGGTGTTCAGATAAGGCAAATGTTCTGGATAAGAAAAAACTGTCACTCACACACTTTCAGTGGTTATTACTAGCCGCACGACCTTTTTACTTTTTACTTTTCAAAATTTTCGTATTTTTTGAATGGCTCACCACATGCACAGTGCGTACTCCTCGGCACGTGCGCCCAAAAAAACTGTTACGGATAATCGAATGGTCGGATAGTCGATGTGCGGATAATCGATGTTCAACTGTACCCCAAATGCAGAAACCTAACAGTGTTCATGTAATTGAAGAAGTTTCCCTGATGCTATTCCTCAGGGATGTTTCATACACGCCTGAGACATTGGCCGATTATCCTAAACAGATGCCGCTCACTATCAATACTTTCCAGGCAAGCACCTGAAGTCTTCAAGTTGCAAAGGTCAGTACATCATGTACAATGCACTCAAACAATGGCATGATATCAACCACTACCATGATGCCGAGTGCAGAGAAAACTAGTCTTTACAGGCATGGGCTGTACCCGTGCGGTCAAATTGCATAGAAACATTGTGTGGTGTGTGAGATTATTCGAGTTGCCTCTCTTTTTTGCAGTGACCGTTTACGGTATGATGTATTTAAGAATGGACAATAGTTCCCATCACACACGACACAGTCACATGCACATAGTCTGGAACTCACCTCTGGATGATGATACCACATCCCGTTGAAAGAACATTGAACAGCAGTCCGGAAGCAGCTGCACCAATACAAACGATGACAGCGAAATAGGAGAAAAGAATCAAAAGCACACGAGTGATGATGTTGATCATCAGCGTATGAAAGCATATTTCTGCAATACAAGATACCTGCTAATTTTCAAGTATGTTTAGCTCAAAATGCCCTAATCATGTATAGTGCAATCACCATAATTAGGTAATAATTAGGTCATACCTCTACTTTTGCGAACAAACGGATTCCCAGCTACATTGATATGCTTCAGAGATGACATTTGAGCAGCTGGTAGAAGCAGTTCTTGAAAGCTAACCTGAAGCGAGAAAGAACAAACGGACCGGGTGAGCACAAACTGATTCAGCAGCTTCGGACACAGCAGGGTTCATATTCAAGTCAAACCAGCTATGGCAGCCCAGCCCAAGCCAACTGGAAACTGTCTGAAAAGTTAAGTGTGTGTCCATTGTACTGGGTAGAAATCCTGTTGCCCATTTTCTATATGAAATATTCCGCAACTTGGGCAAAGTTCGATCAAGCGAACATGAACTGTTTAATTTAAAAGAAATCACGACTACAAACCGTCACAGTGAAGTGACCAGTACACACACATACAATACAGCATTCAAACACACACTATACACATACAATACAGCATTCAACACACATACAATACAGCATTCAACACACATACAACACAGCATTCAACACACATACAATACAGCATTCAACACACATACAATACAGCATTCAACACACATACAATACAGCATTCAAACACACTATGGATATGTAGTCACATACAATACAGCATTCAAACCAGTGGTCACATACAATACAGCATTCAACACACACTATGGATATGTAGTCACATACAATACAGCATTCAAACCAGTGGTCACATACAATACAGCATTCAACACACACATACAATACAGCATTCAACACACACTATGGATATGGAGGTTACGCCACAAGCACTGAACACACACTATGGAGGTTACGCCACAAGCACTGAAACACACTATGGATGTTACGCCACAAGCACTGTAACACACTATGGAGGTTACGCCAAACACACTATGGAGGTTACGCCACAAGCACTTAAACACACTATGGAGGTTACGCCACAAGCACTTAAACACACTATGGAGGTTACGCCACAAGCACTGTAGCGTATGGCAATGGTGAATAATGCTCCATGTCTCACAGCACCGAGAGACAGCACAGTGTTTGGCAAGCCAGTGAGCAGGGAACAGTGACAACATGCTCAGGCTCAGGACTAACCTTATTGCGAGAGAAGTCCAGAAACTCAAGGCATGGGAACGGGAGGATCCTCACCGGTGCAGCTACAGCCAATGCTGCATGGCCTACATCATCTGACATAGCACTTGTTATTGTCATGGTAGCTGTATCCATGGTAGCTGTATCCGACCGCGTCGTGCCAGGATGTGAAAGTAGACTCGGAGAACCGCCTGCACTCATTGTGTCAACCTCTGATATGCTTACTCTGGGTACGGCAGGGGTTGTGTCTCGCTCATCTGAAGCCGTTAGTGCATGGCTAGTGCTTGATTGCCCATCTTTCAACGTGTCTTTGCTATTGCTGCCCACTATCTTCCCCTGGCCTTCATGTGACTCATTAGTTTGTGGAGGAGTTTCAGGTGACGTGTCTTCAAGTGACGTGTCTTCAAGTGCAGGTGACGTGTCTTCAAGTGCAGGTGCACTGTTGGTGCTTCCATCATGCAACATCTCTGGTTCGTTAAGTGGCAATTTAGGTGGTTCAGTCGCATCAGTGTTCACATCTTCCAATGGTGCAGTCTGCATAGCGCCTGCTGGCTGATCTATGATACTAATAGTGTCCGCAACCTGCTCCAGTGTTGCATCTGCAGATGGTGACTGGGATGACCGTACATTGGCATCGATTTGACAACCACTAGTATTTCCAGGAGCAGCACCAGATACTACGACTACCCCGGCGCCAGTTTTCAAGTGTTCTTTTTCACCAGTAGCAGTGACGGTGACACGTTTCGTGGAGTTGGACGATTGGCTGCGGTCGGTCGTAGTGATGCCTTCTTCTACAAGCGGTGGTGAGTTGTCTTGTGAAGTGTGGCTTGACACTGCATCACCAGCAGCATGAGATCTGTGTACTGGCTGGTCAACAGGCACAGCCTCACTTGAACCGTGTGGCACAGGCATCCTCCTGCTACTCTCCCCTGCATGAGCTCCGTGATCAGAAGCATCTTTGCCCGGTGTTGCAGATGGCTCATTATAGTTTCCACCAGCCACCAGACTGTCACTCACAACGGCCACTGATCCGGCATCTGGTTTGGATGATGTCAGTCTTTCCAGCATATCCACCTCCTCATCAGGTTCAGCAGGTCTGTACAGCGTTTCCGGCAGGGCATCATCCGGTGAGAATAGGCTGGACGACAAG